AATCAAATTATGATTTAATTATACAAAAATCAATCCAAGGCTTTAGTAAATGTGCAAGAATCGCGGCACATTATTTTATGTCCGATGTTTTCGATAATTTGGTTATTTCATTATGTAAATTTACAACTTTACTCAATAGTCGTGAAGTAAATTTTTATTTCTTTTGATTATACAGACGAGATGAAGAGGAAAATAATTTTCTTCTTCGATAAAAATTGAAACATTGAATTTCATTTTCTTTGTATTTTTGTTTTTAGTGGATTGAAAATTTACCAATTCAATTTGGTTTAAACCGAAAAGCACGTCTTGCTGCAACAGTTCTTTTCAATATTGCACATGTACATGGAGATATTTTACGCGATGGATGGAAAAATATACTTGAATGTATTATTCATTTGTATAAAGCAAATCTATTGCCATCTGTACTTGTCGAAATTGAAGATTTTCTTGATCCAACAGGAAGAACGACACTTGTAAAAGAACAAACTGCACAAATACAAAAGTAAATTCAACACTGAATTATCAAAAATTTGAACATAAACAAAAACAGAGTGATCTTATCTTTGCTATTTTATTTTTGTTATATTTCAGAAGTGACATTGGCTTATTTTCTTCTCTTGCATTTCTTCTTGGTGGTGGAGGTTCAACAGATGCTACATTATCTTCTGGTAAACAATTTACATTTGAAGAACAAGAAGCAATGAAAGTAGCAACGGCATGCATAGAAGAATGTCATTTAGAACAACTTTTACAAGAAACAAAATTTTTAATCATTGATTCTTTGAGTGAATTTTTAAAAGCACTTATATATGGCTGTCAAATATCTTCTGATTCTCAAAAATTAGATCAAGATGCAGCTGTATTTTGTCTTGAATTACTTGTCAAAGTTGTTTTACAAAATCGTGATCGTGTGACATTATTTTGGCCAACGGTTCGTAATCAATTTTATTCAATACTTGTTAATGCAAATGAAAAATCATTTTTTGTTGAACGTACTTGTGTTGGCCTATTGAGAATTGCAGCCAGACTTTTAAGACGAGATGAACTAGCTTCTGAAGTAATTATTTATCTTTTTATTTATTTATTTATTTATTCATATAATTGTCTATGTTAAGATTCTTGCATCATTGCGCATATTACTTTTGATGAAACCACATGTAATACATTCTTTATCATCTGAAATTGCATTTGGTTTGCATGAACTTCTTCGGACAAATGCAGCAAATATTCATAAATCTGATGATTGGTTTACTTTATTTTCCTTACTTGAAGTTGTTGGCGCTGCTGCACATCCACCACCTGTACTACAAACAACAACACAAAATCTATCAAATGATAAACATATTCATGCAAGTAGATCAATAGCAAGTGTTGAATCAGACAGTGAATGCTCTGATTGTACAATGAACAACACAGTAGATAAAGGCTATACAAGTGATTCAGAGGTCATTTTTTCTATCATATCTTAATAAAACGAAATTTTCAAAATTATATCTTTTAAGGTTTATCATCGACCTGATTATATTGTTGTATCACATGATGATTTGGAGAGTATTCGAACTCAACAATCCATATTAAATCAATATAAAATAGATTTAAATGAAAAATTATCTAGACATGATCGTCGAGCCTTAATTAAATCTTGTGAAACATTATCATTTCTCATACGTGATTCTGCACATGTAACACAAGAAAATTTTGAATACTGTATTCATTGTATTCGAACGTTTATTGAAGCAACAGTTACACAGCAAACATATCAACAAAAATCAAAAATAACAACATATAATAAAAGTCTTAAACAAATGCGAAAGGCAACTTCTTCAAATTCGTTAACAAATGAAAATGTAAATGAAGTAATAAATAATCCATCAGGACAAGCACAATTCATTTCTCGACAATCTAAATTAGATTATGATGATGAAGATGATTTAGAAGCTATCAAACAAGAATATCAATCGCTTGCTTTACAACTATTAGATTTAATGCATACATTGCATACGAGAGCATCACAAATATATAAAAATACAACTGTACAACAGGCTGACCAAACAACTTCGAGTATTTTATGGCATAAATGTTGGTGCCCTATCTTACAAGGTTAGTTCATATTATTGATACGAACAATGTCTACAATTTTGAATCGTATTCATAGAAGATTAGTTAATTCAATAGTTGACTAAGCTTTTTATGAGGTATCTATTACGGGATTCTACGTAAAGATTGAATTTACATTTTTGCTTTTGATCTGAAATTTAATAGTTATATTTCACTTTTTTCAACCAAAACCGAAGAATAAATTAAGTACAATACGAAAGACATTAATCTTTCCATGCTCGGCTGAGAGCTGTTTGATTAATTTCTCGTATGAACATTTTTTGGCTATTCTTAAACATGAGCAAATATATCTTTGCGTCTAGCTGGCTTTTTCGAAAGTATCTGTACGTTTCTTAAAAATACGATACTCCTCAAGTGACGATTCTTCTTTGTTTCTTATTGAAATCGATCAACCATTGTAAAACAATGGTTGAAATTGCTCGTATGAGAAAGATCTCTACTCGTACTATCTACTAGCACATGGATAAAATTCAACACAAAGATACTCCATAACATTAAGACTAGTATACTAATTATGAAACAGCATCGGTACGAAACTATGATCTATTAATTGAATACGAGGGATGTCAAGTAACTTGAACAAGTGAGTCCTCTATCTCGAAAAAATCTATTCGACATAACCTTTTTTCAACTTTCGATGAATAGAAATTGTACTTAACTAAAAGACAAAAGAATCGTTCGTATGAAGTCTGCAATGTTTAAATGCTTGCAAAGAGAAGTATGCTTTCCGACCGTATGGATTCGAAGAAAGAGGAAAGTATTTTTTTTTCTATCACTTTAGTTGTATAGACTATTGATGATCGTTCTCAATAAAATAAAACAAATTAGAACGAATAAAACATGTTACTGTCGCTTTTTGAATTATGGAATCAGCTTCTTTTTATATTTCTGATCATCTCATTAATACTGTATGAATCTTTGTTACAGGTATTGCACGTCTTTGCTGCGATCCTCGCCGTCCAGTTCGTTCGTCTGCTCTTGGTTATCTTCAACGAAGTGTTTTATTGCCTGAACTTCACATTTTATCTCCAACAGAATGGGAATCTGTATTTAATAAAGTATTATTTCCCCTATTACTGAAATTACTTGAAACAACAAACATAACAGATCATGTACATGGAATAGAAGAAACACGTGTACGTGTATCACAATTACTTTGCCGAATATTTCTACAACATCTTTCACCTTTGTTGACTTTACCAACGTTTACAGCACTCTGGTTAACAATACTTGATTTTATGGATAAATATTTAAAATCTGATCAAACAGATATGTTGGTAAGAAATATTTTTCTTCCAAAAAAGAACACTTTTCTGACATCACTCTATTTTTTCAACTTTAGCGTGAATCTGTTCGTGAATCATTAAAAAATATGCTCTTAGTTATGAATACGACTGGTTTATTTGATGGTGAACAGCCTTTATCAGTGATTACAAAAGACAGAATACATAGCTTTTTACCTGGACTTTGGGAAGAAGTTTTTAAGATGTCAACATCTGTTTCTCAATCTGAAGTATGTTTGATGATGTTTACGTTGTAAAAGATGACCTTTGACTTTATTTTAGACTCTTAAAAGATCTGCAACTATTAACGAAGAAAATATTCCATTAAATGCAGCAGCAAATTCTTCATTGAGTAAATGAGTCAATTATTTCGTTGTTTATTTTAATATTGATTTTACTTACAAGGCCAAAATATCAATAAAAACTTATCTGACAAATGATGTATGATTTACTTTCTTACATTTTTATTTTATTTGAAAGACAGTTTACTAAGAACAATAAACAAAGAACATACAATTTAGTCAATAGATTTTTTTCTTTCTCAGAATATAGATAAATCAGAATCTACCTTTATTTATGGTCCTGAAAATTAACAAAACATAAGACTAAAAATTGATCGGAATGAAATTGGTCTAATTCGTTTTTTCTTCGTTCTTTTAGACTCATGTAGTTACATCTCAAATTCAAAATTTATGAAAAATGTTTCATTTAAATTAATTTTATTTTCTCGTTTTGTGTTTTTATTATTTCAACAAAAAAAGCAAATTCTATATATTTATTTTTCGTTTGTTCAATATGTATCATGTGGACTCTACTTTTAGTGTTTCTTTCTCTCTCATTTCCATTGTTCGTTCAAATATTCCTTCGTTTTAATTGTATTTGCACACATTGTGGTCAATATATAAATTTATAAATAAAAACGATTCGTGAAGTACGCATTAAATGTTGTATCATCAAATATATTTCACATTCTCATAGTCAAGAAGTATAAATCATTGAAAGTAACTATGTGAAGGTTAAGAAATGCCATGCAAGAAAATTCTGCATCTTTGTATTAGTAAAATGAAGTAAAAACTATAAATGACAAATAGTGTTATCTGTAATAGATCCCTTAATGATGATAATTGCGAATAAGTAATGTATTTTTATTCTTAAATCGAAATCAGATTGAATTGTAATCTCTCTCTCTCTCTCTCTCTCTCTCTCTGTATAAAACACGATATAACATATAGATAAGACAAAGGCGAAGATAAATTCGTACTCATCGTATATAAAATATAGGCGTACGCAAATGTTCATTTGTAGAAAGTTCCAGTTGAAAAAAGCTCAAACATTGTCAAAACTTAATCATAATCATAATTGAAATTTTGCATCATACAAATTTTATTGTGTACTTATATGTAGAAAAAGATATAGATTTCAACGATTCTAGTATAAATATAATTTACTGGTCAATAATAAATAATAAATAAATAAAATACGGCATGGGTGATATTTTTTAATATCAAAATACATTGGAAATCGTGTTCGTCGTTGATATCACACACATACGTGTATACGAAGAGAAAAAAGTTCTTTCAACAAAATCAACTGTAATAATTATTTTCGACTTTTTCGTCTTTGATCATCACTTTTCAAAGTTCCATCTAAACGAGTCACATCTGTGATTTGTTTTTCTGTTGATAATTGACTACTATGAACAAGACTAACAACAAGCATTGCATTGTCAGCTATCAATAAATGTTCATCAATAACCTCATCTGCCCACTGATTAAGTATTGTTGCTGAGTTTAGTTGATGTTCATCTGAAATAATTCCAACCTCATAATGAATAGAATTATTGGTAATCATAAGAGGAAAACATGTTTTGAGTATTTTATTTAATGCACTAATAACATCTCGACCTCGGCATTGAATACGTGGCACATCAAGTAATAGTGGTAAACCAAATTTAATATTCCATGGTAGACCATCTTGAAATCGACATAAAATAAGACAATACTTTTGAAGATTGATTGTATTCAATTCAAATGGTGTTTCATACAAAACAAGTTCCTCGATTTTATTAAAAATACTTTTTAATTGAGTATCAGTGGTAAATCTTCGACGAACACGATGCTGACAAACCTCTGTTACTAGGAAATAATCACGTTGTTTTCGTTTTCCTATAATTGCATTATTTTGTGTAATTATAAATTGATCAATTAGATTTCCTATTGTTCCATTAACTTCAACTAATATATAGTGACAAGTAACAATACCTGATAGGCGAACATATTTTACCTGAAATTCTAATTGATGAATAACTGATGACGATAGAGAAGATGATGACGTTGACAAGGTACTAGATGATCTCCAATCATTTAATCGCATTCGAATATCAATTGAATGAATTAAAGGACGATTCGATATAACTTCAATAGAATGCCGATCAAATATATTCGAATCATTTTGAATTTGTTCAATTGATTTTCTTAAACCTGACATATCTTTATTCGATACTTGAATTTTTCGGAATAGCTCAGCAATTTTTTGTCTATAACGAGCAACTTTTTCTAATTGTTCATTTCGTATTGTATCAAATATTTGACGATATTCAGCAATTTTTATTTTTATTTCTTGACATTTGTTTTCAACAATATCATCAATTTTACGATAAGCATCTATACGCCATTGCTCAATCTTTTTAAATGGTTCATTGAGAATATTCGTTGATATTGTTAACGATTGAAGACGTGTTGATAAATTTGTGAGAATTGTAAAATAATCTTCAAGAGTTGAACGAGTTAATGCATCGATTAATTGGGCATGTTGCGTTAAATGATCAAGGCATAAATCACGAGAGCAATGATAACAAGATGCACTAAAAATAAAAATAAATCTTTCATTTATCAAACTGAAAGCTTGGATTATCGAAGTTTTACCAAGCTTCGTTTTTACATTTTTCATTATCATCTGCCTGACACAATTTAACAGGTTTAGCCATGGTTATATTTATCAATCTGAATAATAAACTACAGTTTAATGTTATTTCATTTTTACTGAAAATATGTAATGGCAAATATATTTTAAAAAGAAAACAAGTCAATCATTATCTTGATGTTCTGCTATTTCAATTATTATTCTAGAAAGAAATTCCATCGATATCTCGTGAAGATAAATAACTACACATTATCATCGAAAAATGTAGTCAAACAAATTTTTTTCGCTTGATATCAAAAATTTGCAATGAATACTTGTATGTATCGTTGAAATTTCTTATACGCATTTGATTTCATTTTAAGAAAAAGAAAAAAAAAGAGCTGAACAGCAATAATAAAATGTTCATAAATAAGATTTTATTATAATAAAGAAACAGATAATGACCGTTTTTTATCTAGACATTTTTTATTTGTATTATTGACAAATTCTTTCAATTCCGAACGTGTATTTCTTTTCGATTGTGCCGTTTGAATAACAGTTGGTAATGGCGATGGTGACTGAACCATTTTTGAAGTTTGTGAATCGAAAAACATTGTTCTAATATTCACAAAAAATGCATAAGTAGAAATTTTAATTGAATGTTTTTCAATGGATTGTAAAAACGATTGAGTTTCTTTGATTTTATCTTCTATATGTTTAATATCTTTATTGATCACATGTGTTCTTCGAGTTAAATCATTCAATTGTTTTTTAAATAGTTCAATTTTTTGTTTTTCTTCATTGGTTTTTTCTATAAATATAATTTGATATTCGGAAATTTTTCTTTTAATCTCTTGTCGTTTTTCTTCAGCTAATTGATCTAATTTTTTATGTGCATCTATACGCCATTTTTCCAATTGAATAAATGGATACTCTGATATACGTGATGATATTGAAACAGATTCCAATTCGTTATATAAATCATTTAAAACTTTTTCATGGGAATATAAACATGTACGTGTTTGGTTTTCAACATATTGTGTATGTTCAGTTAAATGCATCAAACATAAATCATGTGAACAATGAAAACATTTCGCTCTATTAAAAAATTTAAATGAAAAACAAGTTTGTTTTTAAACTAAACTCTATTATATTTACCTGGCATCTTTTTCGCAACAAATTCCATTATTATTTGCTTGACATGGTTTTGATTCGATAGTTGTGATCATTTTAATCTAGAACAAAAATTAAATTGGATAATATTTTCATAGTTGTTTTTAGGTTTTGTTGATTTATTGGTTGAATTGATAAAATGTCAAATAAGGATAGATTCGATTTTAAACTTTTACTTATTTATTTGTAATGTACAATCGTGTAGCCTTCGACTCTTTTATTTAATTAAGTTTTTGAAAAACATGTTACTTAGAACATTATCATGCATTGCTTTGAAGATAAACAAATTATTTTCTTATTGTACAGAAAAAAACACATTGCAATGAGTGCAAAAGAAAGAAAAAATAATGATAAGAAAATTCCGAAATATAATATTTGATTTGCTATGCAATTAACTATTTATTCAACAAGTCATTTATGAGAAAGTTCGGTCGGTACATACATTTATATTATTCTTCAATTTTTGTATCAAATTTATTTTGAAAACGTCCCATAATCTAAGATATTTCATATTTTTATTCAAGTTTCGTAGTAGTATAGTTAGAAAGTGCAATTTCATTTTTATGTTATTTATTTAAAAAGTTCTTGCCTTTGTTTTATGTTATCCATTTGAATAAATAGTTAGAAAAAAAAATGACTGAGGGGTAGTAGGCTGGAATTTTGATGAAAATTATTTTTTGATAAAATTTGTGATAGTCAATGTAGTTTTTCCTGATGATTCCGAATCTGATGTTTCTTTTGCATGAAAATTGAGTTTTGATAGTCGAAATCCGGAAATAAGAGTACAATTCTTTAACCTATAGCCACCGATCTAGTAAAAATCGATTTTCTCAAAGAGGGAACAATATTTTTCAAACTGAATATATATGCTTTTGTTCGCTATGGCTTGACGGTTCGAATTATATAAGAAAGTCTGAGAGTTGCTTTCAAAAAAAATACTTAATGATTTTGCGAGACATCAATTTCAAGGTACCTATATGGGGACCTAGTTGAGTTCCTCAAACATGAAAATTATGTTTTTTACTGGTCAACATCACATCAGTAGATTCAGATTTTCATGCTAAATTTGATGATGATGATTTTTGAAACATAGACCATTGTTAAACTAGGTAAATTATGAGTTTTCTCGGAAAAAGTGAAATATTGACTTTTCAGGTGCATTTTGTATTTTGAAAAATTCTCAGCCGAAACAGAAGCCTAGAAATATTTTAAAGATGATATTCATGATCTACTCATCGAGTTCTATCTAACCATATAATAATAAAAGCATTTTTTTTTCTTCTGCTCAATTTTTGACTTTGGTACACCTGACAAAAATCTAAATAGTATTTTGAATAAATTGGCATCAGACGTCCAATCTTTTATTTTTATGCTATGTTAAGAATTTTCGTAGTGTTATTTGTAAATTTTCTTTCTGTTTTATTCTAAATTTTTACACATTTCATTTTTTCGAAAAATCGGAAAGTATCTGAAAATCATTTCCTAGTTACTGAATAATCGTGAATTTCTCTTAGAAATTTCATTGTAATATTGGACTCATTTTAATATATTTAGGTTAATTTCTCTTCATTTCATGACAAATTTTGATAAAGCTTGTCAATATTTGCATGTTTCTGATAAATTATTGTATTTAATTATACAAAAAAAATCATATTCTGCCTGGAACACATATCGATATTCATATTAATATATACAATAATAAAAATTTTTTTTATAAACTTAAGCACAATGGTTCAATGTTCTTATTTCGTTTTGATAATCTTTACATGAATCACATTAGATATCAAACACAAACAAACAAATGAACAGTGCTGTTTTCTTTTACACCAGTATAAACTATTTGTGTTTTGTCTTTCCAGCTGAGACACGCGAATGGAAAAAAATGTCGATTGCATTTATGAGTTGAGGAGAACGCAAGGCAGCAAAAAAAGCGAGTATTTGAATTTTTTCATGCATTCACTCCGTCATTCTGTGCTCTAACCGAAGAAAGAAAGAAACATAGAAGAAATTATTCATGCGCCGACAGGCATGCATTTATTTTTGCTATAAAATGATGTGCATCTACACTAGAAACAACATAGATTGGAAGATGTAAAAATATTTTGTCCTTTTAAACATTTTTATTAACTTTCAACAACGAAAATATGGAAATTGATTTACAATTTTTGATAATCAATAGTTTGACCGTTGCTGTTCTTGCTAGTTCATTATTTCTTATTGCTTCATATGTAGTTATTATCTTTCTTATGTTAATCATTCCTTTAACAATATTTTTTCTTTATTATTATTTTTCTCTACCACAATGTCGAAGATCTGTTAATCAATTTAAAAATATAACGATTGCACACCGTGGTGGGCAACCATTAATGCCATCGAATGAAAATGATTTTCCTGAAAATACAATGGCTGCTTATCGATGGGCATCAACTACAAATGGAATTGATGGCATTGAATTAGATGTTTGGTTAAGTCGGGATGATATTCCAATGATTAGTCATGATGCTTATTTAGAACATACGTTTGCTAATTGCCCACAATTTATATCATCATTAACATGTACCGAATTGAAGCAATTAAAATATTTAAAAAAGAATAAACGCGATGTATATGATCATATAGGTTGTGAAACAATACCAACCTTGGAAGAAGTTATTATATTTATACAGCCGACAAAACTTAAACTAAGTAAACATAGAAAAGCATCGTTGAATAAAGAAAAAAAACTAGTAACTATGTCTATTTGATTTATTTTCTAGTGATTGAAATCAAGGAACTACATAAGAAAAAAGAAATGGCAAAGATTATTAATGATCTTTTTGAACGTTATCCATTTTTATATGATCGTGCTTATTGTGCTGCTTTTCATCCGAGCAATTTGTATGAAATTCGTCGTCTAAATTCATCTATAGCGACAGCGTTTCTCTTTGTATCCAATATAACAGCATACATTATTCGTAATGCCAATCAAACTCCACATCCTATTTCAACATTTTTTATTCAAAACGTAATACTTCGATGGATTATTGATTCATTTTTCTTGTTTTTATCTAAGCCGATTGGTTTGAGATTTTTAGGTGCTAATTTAATTTGTATCGAACGTCGAGAAATTTCACGAAATTTATTAGATACATACAACAATGCACAGATTATTGTATGTGCATGGTGTGTTAATGAAATTGAAGAACGGCGATGGTTAAAAGCTAATGGAGTTACAGTTATTACAGATACACTTTTTAATATCGATGAAAAATCATAATGTATCCAAAATTAAACATAAATTTTAATCGAATCTCATTCAATTAATTTTTTAGAACAAACTTTCATTATCCAATGAATTCATTTAAGTACTTTTAATTTATCAATATTATTGGATGAATCTCTAAGCAAGAAATAAATATTAAATTGTGAATTGAAATATAATACTTTAGCTTTTAACTTCTTGTGATAGTTCTTATGCACTTTGAATAATTTATATATTAGAATATCTAATGAAAGTGATCAAAAATAAATAGAGTTAAGTTGACTTATTGAATCTGTCAACAATAAAATAATCAAGCTGAACTAAAACTATCGTTGAAATGAAAAATGATGGTGATTAGTTCAACCTTTAAATGATCATATATCGTGTGACAACTAAAGAAAATAAAAATTTCGATAAATTTTCTTTTACTATCAATGAAATGCTGTTATGTCATCGAGTGTTATGGGTACCATAGTAAAACAACAGGCATAAGTGTGAGAAAATGTCAAATATGGGCAGTTAACTGACAAATTCGAGTAAAAATTCGAGTGAATTCTAAGCGATATTTCGAAATATTTGAGCACTCAATAAATATGTTTCTCTTGATCTTTTGATACTTTCAATACATATTTATCATTAATAGAGAACGAAGTTGGCATCATTCGTGGTGACTACTTATTACATATATGTTAAAAAATAAAACTACAATACATGCTACAAATTGATATCTACTGAAAACGATATTGAATAGAACGAGCATGAAACCAATACATATAAATACATTCGAATCACAAAAACTGCGAAGCATCTCGATTTTTATTACAGGATATGTTTTATTATCAAAAGAAGCATAAGATTTTCTTGCTTTTTTAGGTCAAATTTTTGTTGTCCATTCACAATTAGAAGTTGTATTCGTATTTACTAATGAACGAAAAATAATTAATACTAAATGACCGCTCTGCTTTATTCATCAACTATAATCACGAACTTAAAGTTTGATAACTATTGTAGAATAATTTGCTTTCTTTGATTGCTGTAAATTAAATTTCAGTTCTTATCATTGGTTTCTACATATGTATAATGAAACTTGTAAGGTGTTTATAGATTTGTTTTTCTGTTTATAAACATAAATGTGCTAAATATAACATAGATCGATGTTGTGTTAACTATCAAGTCTAGCCGACTCGAATTGCATTAGAAACGTTGATTGAATATTTTTCTGCAAGCATATCCTTTATATTTTCATTTTACAGAGACCCAAAAATAATCGAGATAATATATACTTTAGAAATACAAATGGATTATCCATTGATCTTTGGTAAATTAGTATGCCAGCAAGTGTTTTGATACGAACCCTGTGATTAATGAATTACTTTCATCTTAAAATTATAAAATTTTTACTCTCACTGTTTCCTGTAAATGAATCAAATATCGATTGAATATATATTGTTTTTACACGGTTCGGAGATCTCAAATAAATCATACAATATTTGATAAAAATGAACTTCTACAATTTTAGTGACACAAATGAAAAAATAAATGAATCAGCAAGTCGACACAAAACAAAATCAATGAACAAATGTATTACTCTATTAAATGAATTCAGCATGGAAACTACAATGGGAAGTAAACAAAGCTGATAATTATGAACTATTTGTATTTTCATAAGGGTGAAAATATGCGCATCTCTATTTGCGGCTGAAAAAAGATCTGGTATATATCAATCATATTGTCTCGATAATTCTAGTGAACATTTTCGAAGCTACAATCAATTGTAATAATAATTCAAACTTTCTGTACTTGATTAGCAAAGTCCACACATCGTTGCATTGTAATTGGTCTACAATTGTCGTAAGTCTCGAATATAAAGCACGGTAACACAAATCAACTCATCCTTGAATCAGAGCATTAGTTCATTCTATCATAGTTCCTAACTAGTTCAAAGAGCACATTAACATATTCTTTTGATTACTGAGTGAATGATTTGTTCATTGTTCTTTATACGTTACTGTAGATAAAAAGCTTGATTTCAAAATTTGACCCTTTCATAAAAATTCTCCAGCAAAGATTTACATGATAATTAAGATAACATAAGCTTTCAAACTATGAAAATACGTTCGTATAAAACACTTTAATGATCCTAGGCAATTTCTATGTCTTGTTTATATATCTTGATTTGTATTATTAATTTAGTAAATTCTTCAAGTAGACCAATACATTTGTCATCTTCATTCAATTGATCATTAACAATTTGTTTTTTCTTCAAATTATTGACGATCATCAGTAAAACGAATGAATTCACAGTAGAATAAAGAGCGATGGCAAAGAAAAAGAAGAAAGCTTATACTTGAACAACAAATTAAAAGGATATTAACAGAAACTGAGCATGCTCTTTGTTTTAGTCGTCTTTAATGATTATATTTTTATTTTTACTTAAAAATAAATACTAAGAAGATTGTTCATGTCATGTGCCCTTGGCTTTTAATTGAAAATTGGATTTCGAAGGAGCAATAGTGATGTTTCCGTATAAATAGCGTACTTTTACGAGTGTAGTCCAGATAGACGCAAGTTCCAGTGTCGCATCAGCCCAATCCAACATCTCTTTCAATGATATTCTGCTAATATTTTGTTTTATATTTGATATTTGTTCGTTGAAATTTTTGCGAAGTAAGTTCTTATGATAATCGGAAATTTTGTTTTTTTGGCCGAGTCGTTTCGACCAGACTCGCGACGAATTTCGAATATGATCGACTTGAATCCAACCAGGATAAGCTCCCTTATAATCGTGGCGATCAAATGAAATGATATTAATAGATTCTTGAGGATCGTATCCTAGATGAAAGAGACGCGCTTCATCATAATGTACATCGTACACAAGTTTTCGTGGGTATTGCTTAACAATAACATGAGAATTACCAGGATTGTCTAGGTGAAACGTGTATCGTTGATTTTTATGTGCGTTAGAAAGACGAAGAAGAGACGTTCCTTCGTATTGCGACAAGACTGAGTTGAGTTGATCTTGTCGCACATTAAGTAGCCTATTGACTGACCCATTAAGAGTCTCCTGCGATGACAATAGTGCGTCCATAATCGTCGGCAAAATATCCATATTTGTGTACTGTCCATCAAGTTGTTTTGCTTTCAGATTTGGATTGTGCAGCATTAGTGGAACACGAAATGCACATTCAAATGGAACTCTCCATGCAGCAAGAGATTTTCGACCCCAATCACGAAAGGCATATCCGTGGTCGCTAACAATGACGATCAACGTCTCACTGTACAAGTCTCGTGATTTTAATCCATCAATAATAGTTTTTAAAAGAGTATCAGTTACTCGTATTGTATTAAGGTACTTGTTTGCGCGTGTATCTTCGAGATAATTGCGATAGATTCGTTCTTTTGGTGGCATAACAAATGGTTCATGTGTGCCAGTCAAGAGTAAGCTAGTCATTAGTTTATTTTCTTTTTTTCCATCTAAATTATTGTCAATCCAATCCCACAATAGAGGTAAAATCGTTGAATCTGATGGCCCAAACATACCGACATCAGGAGCTGATCCCGTTCGATTGACAACGTCGAATCCACTGTAAACGTTATCAAATTTCATTCGTCTGATCAATTCTCGTTGACGATCGAAGTCGTCCCGAGCAGAAGTAAAAAATGCCGAACGAAACGATGATGAAGTTGCCGATGTACGAAATGTTTGCCGAAGTAGTTCTGGTAAACAGATCTCATAAAATTTATTCTTCGCATTAGCCTCTTGCAAGAAATCGACATTCAGTGGATATATACCGCATAAGGTGCCAATTAAACTTTTCAATGTGTATGTAGCGATCGTCGTAGCAGTAGTACGAACAGAATCATTCCACAGAGAGTTAAAAAATGGACTCACATCATCTGCAGTTACATTAGTACGAGATTTGGTGCCTATAATTGTACTAAAGTTAAAATTGAATGGAAGAACATCAGCACGAATGGATTCTAAAATAATTAGGAAGATATGTTTGACAGGTTTGCTTAGAATTGTAGTCGGTTGAGATATTTGAATTTTGGGAGCACGAATAAATTGCTCTATGAAATCTGTTTCATTTTTCTCCCAGTAGTCTTGCACTGTTTCTTCGTTTTTTCCGTAGTAGTTAAACGTCGCTGGAAACAAACTCAGTACTACATTTAATGAGGGCTCTTTCCACGAATGTACTGGAGGAAAGTATACAACAATAGTTGAGTAAATTACTAAAAGTCCAAAAATAATACTAACAACAACGTAACGAGTATGTAGTGGGCGAAAATAATGACTATTTATTGTTTTTCGAACATAAGAATGCCCTATTCTCCATAGTACAAAACCGAGAAACAGCTGTGAAAATAAAATTAAAACAAATTTGAATAATTCAGGCCAATATAGAATAGCTGTCGATTTCACTTTCAATGCTAAAACTACTTTCCAATTGATGGTATAACCTATGAGTGTTACATAGAACAATCAAATTCTCTGGAAATACTGTGAGAAAAGTACTTACCTGTTCTAATTAGCAGTAGGATATTCGATGAAAGAATTATTAGAACGAACGATGCAAAAATTAAACCAAACAGAATATAATATCGATTTGAATCTGGCCATTTCCATGGAATATAAATTAACAAAACAAAAAGAAGGAGGAGGACTAGAACATCAGGAATAACAGCTAGCCATATCCATAGAAATGCAGCAGGTGACCAAATCATATGAGCACCATAAACATAGAACACAGTTAGTCGATTTTGAACCAAAGCCATAAAACAACTGTACACCAGGCAGCCTTCAATTCTATTATAGACGATATGATTTCAGAACTTCAGAGAGACACTACTATTTGAAGTTTACTCAAATAAAAATTTGGATGCATTCTGAAATGCGAAACGAGAAAAACTCACCATCGTACATTTCATTCAATAGATACTTTTTCAAAGGATTTTTGGCTCGTATTTAACATGCGTAGCAATAGCTATTTTTTCTATTATAATCAAACCACCAATGCATGAATCACTAAGCAGCATAACAGAGTCATAAGATATGGGAGTAAATGGATTGGTGCCGACATTGAAAATCATATTTGATGGAATGATCACTGTTCTATTTTCAATCTCTCGTGATCTAATTTTCCGTGAAATCCAAATTAGAACAGATTTGCGTTCTTGAAAGTGGAAGTCTATTTAATTTTCAAATTTGAATTCTAACTCATATGTAACAGTAATTTCACTCGTTTTCTTAGTCATGATTTTAAAACTCAGTGTTCTGACGAAGATCTGATTGCAAAATATTTGAAAGAAACTCTTTTAATCTCGTTCTATCCGAGTTCAAGCATATTGACTCATTTTTTAACCCTGAAGTTAGTACCTAGTCTATTGTATGGTGGATTTGTCGAAGTGAGAATATTCATTTTAATTTTATTCATATTTGAAGTTACATTTAATTTAGTGATAAAAATGATTTTCTATAGTACAACAACGAACCATTTTTTTATCCTACTCAAGCTTATCAATTTTTGGAATCATTGGACTCAAGTTGAAATAATCTCATCATGATTTTTATTAATATCTCTGGCCACTGATAGAGAATCGATGAAACTCTTGATATATATATATATAGCAATCCTCACGTTAGAAAATCTACCCTCATAGATTTATGTTGAACTGTTTTTTTATTTATTCATCTATAAACTATGCTTTCTCATAATTCTGCATTTAGAATGAGTCAAGCAACATCGATTATTATTGTTGAACATCATAATATTTTAAGTTATCTTGCACCATTGTGAACGAAATTCGAAAGTCACAATTATTTCATGATCAATGCAGGTATTGAACTTACTATACTTCGACATAAAGCTATCTCTTTCTCTAGTTAATATATTAGTGCGATGGGATTTCAAATTATCAATTGGTATAACTATCGGCTGCAACTACGAATTTCGATCATTTTTATAATTGCAAACATTATTTAAACCTAGTTGAATTATAATCGCTTTATTTTAAGCATACCTATTAATGTTGCTCATGATTTTTAAACTAATCTAAATAGTTAGCAAACTCCATATCCATAAATAACGTGCACTAACATCGGCCATCAATGTGTCATCATCTAACCGTCCGTCTTTAGTTATGTAAGAGAGATCTATTTGTCTTTGATTGATAAGATAACAGCTACACTTTTTTTATTGTGTTCGCTTGTTTCTTTGATTCATACCATGTTAGCTTTTTCAATTCTGTCGTTTCTTCTCTTTGATCGTTGATATCTTGACAGGCGAGAATGAGAAAAGAAAACACTGTGATATACGTATTTTTATCAGTAGTATAGGTGAATGATGAGAGTCAATAAAGAATAATTTGATAACGTAATTTCGTATCGCAGTAAAAAAGAATGCATAAATATACTGACACTAAATATTATCAAAACTTCGAGCTAGAACAGATTACCCATGTTTGCTATTATAGTGGTAGAGAATAAAACAGAAAAAGAATAAAAATTATTCTCAAGCAGGCTCAGTTACATTCGATATAGAAGTACAAAAAAAGCTGTATTTGAATACACATACTTAGCAAAACGCTACAAGACCATTTTCTCGATGCTAACTTCCTACTTGAAACAATCTCATGACCTTCCATTAAGGTTAGTATGTTGCTGTTAATATATTCTAAATTTGAATTCTTACGAATATAATTCTTTTAAATTTAAATCTCATTCAGTTTAAGTTAAATTTCGTCTTTGATAAATTTATATTTATTTTAAATTTGATTTTTTTGTAGATTTATTCAAATTTTGTAGCTACAAATTGATCACTCCTCAATATCATAGAATGGCTTCAATCTCAATTCAAAGCATACGCTTAGTCTAACATTTAGATCAGACATTATTGAATTATTACTTAGGGTATACAAAAAGTTCTGAACACGAGATCTTGAGTTCGACAAAATTCATAGTTTTGAAAGTTTTATTGTGCGAATATATATAGTAATATGCCTGCTCTATGATACGGCATATATGAGTCCTATATTGGATTTAATTCTAACAATCATTTTGGAGAAAATCTATAATATAGTGGCTATAACCAATAGCTAACAGATCCTTGTGGAATGTTCGGATACATTCTGGAATATTCTGTGTTGTTTATTTGCCTCTTGTGTAACGTTCTATGACGTCATGTTCGAGAATATTACATTCCGATAGTATATATAGGTGAAAGATCGTTCGGTTTCAAAT